TTTCCAATTATCAATTAACGAGTTATGATGTTTTAGAACATTCTATTAACGTTTCGGATCTTACTCAGATAACACTAAAATTTATCGTTTTCCCGAATGTCACAACATATCTAAGATGTTAAAACAAAATATAATTCAATGCTCTGTTAGCCCATATACCTAATTCCCCATTATGAGTAGTTCCAAAGAAAATCGATGCATCAGGTTAACAAAAATGACCTTTAGTCGGAGACTATAATAAATTAAATCAGGTAACAATAGGAAACAATTTTCCTTTTTCTTTAATCGATGAAATATTAGATCAGTTAGGACATTCTAGTAGTTTTCATTAATTAAAATTAAGAGCAGGAGATATTCCTAAAACAGCCTTTACTACATCCCATACGAGTATTTAAGAATACCATTTGGATTCAAAAATGCTCTAATCAAATTTCAAAGAGCAATAATGAATATCGCATTGAGCGGTTTACAATGTGTTACCTACCGTGTTTCGTGTATCTTGATGACATAGTTGTTTATGATAGTTTAATATAAAAACAATTTAAAAAATTGCGTTCTGTTTTTTAAAGATTTAGTGAGAATAATCTTAAATTACAACCTGATAAATGCGAATTTATGTGGCGGGAAGTAAGTTATTTAGGTGATCTAATAAATGAAACTGGTGTACAACCAAATACTGCTAAATTAATGATCATACAAAATTATTCTTGTCTTAAGAATGCAAAACAAATAGGACTCGCCGGGTATTATCGCCGACAAATGATTTTTCTAAATTTGATTTGATAACTCTGTTAAAAAAGGATGCACCTTTCGATGGAGTTAGACACAACAACGCTCATTCCAATATATTGTAGCGACCACGAGCGTGATTGTGTGCGATAGGGCATACATGTGTGTGAGCGGCTTATCGATTCGCCGACTAGCCGCGGGCGCCCTTCTTCATGTACGCCGTATCTGTAAACGTGTGTGTCGTACCTGCGTTCCGCGAAAGCAATTAAACAGAGAGGGTTCCAGAAAGGACACAAAAGAGTATATAAAGAAAGAGACGATCGCCGAGAGAGGAGTAGAAATAAATTGACCGTTGCAGAAGTGAATCAAGAAAAAAATTGAAAGTGATAGAAGTGAAATAAATAGAACAGTGAATAGTAACAGTAGTGTAAATAAATAGAATAATTAGAATTGTCGCAAATCCTGAAACGTGAATTGGAAGAAAACAGTAAGTTTGGAAAATAGATTGGAAGTAAACAGTAAAAGTTTGGAAAATAAATTGGAAGAAAATAGTAAAAGTTTGGAAAATAAATTGGAAAAAAGTAGTGGAAGCTTGAAACGTGAATTGAAAGAAAACAGTAAAAGTTTGGAAAATAAATTGAAAGAAAACAGTAAAAGTTGGAAAATAAATTGGAAGAAAACAGTAGAAGTTTGGAGAATAAATGGGAAGAAAATTTAATAAGAATATTCAAGAAACAGAAGAGAAGATAAAAGTGCTGGAAGAATTGATTTTTAATGGAAAGACAAAATCAATCGAAGGGGGTGTTGGCGCATCTAGTACACTCAACGAAGCCAGCCAAATCAGCCAAAGAAGCGGCATAGAGTCAAGAACACGAGTAAAACCACCAACGTTTGATGGAAAGTCCTCATGGGCCACATACCACAAGCAATTCGAGGCGGCTGTTAAGGCGAATAACTGGACGTCTGAAAAAAAGCCAGCGTTGACCGTTGCGCTTCGTGGAGATGCATGTGACATTTTGAACACCCTTTCTCCGGAAGAATTGGCGGATTATGAACAGTTGGAGTTGCGCTACGGCGAGGCTCATTTAACAGCGGTGTATCACATACAACTGAAAACCCGTCAGCAGAAATCAACGGAATCCCTACAAGAATTCTAGGCCGATATTGCAAGACTGTCCAGACTGGCCTATCCTAATACTCCAGAAGAACTAATGGAAATGTTGGCAATGGAGGCATTTACTGATGGACTTCGGACAGTGACACTCAACAACGAATACGCCTTGACCGACCTAAGACGCTAGCTGATGCATTGGAGTACGAAACTGTTAAACGGGCCTATAGTAGACAGGGAAGGGTTCGGCTACTGCGTGAAGAAACGGATTCGTCAGAAACTCTAGAAGAAACCGTCTGCCAAATAATTTCCAAGTTCGATAAAGAAACTCGAAAGCTAAAATGTTGGAATTGCGGCGAACTAGGTCATACGAGGAGGCAGTGTAGAAGAAGTACTCATTCCCCAAGTACTCGACGTCAACAGCAGGTAAATTCTGAAACAGTACCTGTTGAAATAAGTGGAGTGATTGACAGATATTGTAGGAATCTAACCAATGAGCAGAAATGCAAAGTGCAACATCTACTTTGTCAGAATGCTCTTTGAGATTGACAAGAATGGTAGGGGAAGGACCAATATCGTAAAACACAAGATCAATACCGGTAATGCGCAGCCTATTCGTCAAAGACCTAGACGATTACCCTGGCCAAAAAGGAAGAAGCAGAGCGAATAATCCACGAAATGCAGGAGACCGGCAACAACCCGTTTTTGTGTGGATTACCGACAGCTCAACAACGTGACTAAGAAAGACAGTTATCCACTACCACGGATTGATGACACCTTAGATACGCACCGATCATGCAGCTTTAAAGTGGCTTCTGAATTTCAAGAATCCGGAGGGCTAGGTAGCTCGATGGATTGAGAAGCTACAGGAATATGATTTTGACGTAGAGCACCGGCCTAGAACCGGACACAAGAATGGCGATGCACTTTCCAGAAGATCTTGTCAAGCAAACTGCAAGCAGTGTGATCGAATGGAAGAGAACGAAGAGACGCGTCACGGTAATCGATGACGAATGGTTACCTTACAATATAAAACACGACCAAGAAAACGACCCGGACTTGAAGAAGATAAAGGAATGGAAAAAAGACGGAAAACGGCCAACATGGCAGCAAGGTTCTTCCTGTACCCAAGTACTAAAATCGTTATGGGCTCAGTGGGATTCATTGGTTTTGGAGGATGGCATCCTGAAGCGTGTTGTTGAAAGTCCAGATGGAGAGGAAGATAGGAAGCAACTGGTTATTCCACGAAACAAGGTTGGAAGTGTTGCAGTATCTTCATGATGGTTCATCTGGTGGTCATTTTGGAGTGAATAAGACGCTTGGGAAAGTTCGAGAGCGATTTTATTGGGTGAACTGTAAGGAAGATGTCAAAAATTGGTGTAAGAAGTGTACCACCTGTGCCGCGAGTAATGGACCACCGAAAAGGCCGAGGGCGCCAATGCGTCAATACAATGTCGGTGGCCCCTTCGAACAAATCGCAATCGATGTGGCGGGTCCATCCCCAGAGTCCGAGAAAGGTAACAAGTACATCGTGGTCGTTATGGACTATTTTACCAAGTGGGTTGAAGCCTATGCCCTTCCGAACCAGGAGTCGGAGACCATAGTTGAGGAGCTGGTGAAAGAGTTGATCGGTCGTTTTAGGGTGTCCTTGGAGTTGCACTCAGACCAAGGGAGGAATTTCGAATCGGCTATATTCCGTGGAATATGCGAGCTCATAAGAATAAAGAAAACTCGAACCACTCCACTTCATCCACAATCGGACGGCATAAATATCTCTCCAAGGTAGTGTCTGACCACCAAGGGGACTGGGACCGCTATTTGCCTTTATTCTTAATGGCATACCGTTCATCTGTCCACGAAACGACTGGTCAAACACCTGCCAGTGTCCTTTTTGGAAGGGAGTTACGACTACCCTGTGACCTCAAATTCGGCTGTATACCAGATGACTTGGCTGGAGAAGATTATGTTACCAACATCCGAAGAAAGCTTAACGATATTCACGAGTCGGTTCGTCTGCATGCGCAGATTGCTAGTGACAGGATTAAGGAAAAGTACGACATCAGGCCTACAGCAGGTGGTTACTAAACTGGAGATCTTGTTTGGTTGTATAATCCTCGTCGTCGCCGTGGACTATCACCTAAGTTCCAACAGAATTGGGAAGGACCCTATGAGATAGTGAAGAGGATTAACGACGTGATCTACCGAATTAAGAAAACTCCAAATGAGAAGCCGAAGGTAGTCCATTTTAATCGCTTGGCTCCATTCGCCGGTGCAAATGAAGTGGAGGCGCGGGCCAGATTATTAAGAACTATTCCTTCCGAGCCCCCATTCGAAGAGTTCATGAAGGAAGGCCCCCATGTTAACAGGAGATTTGGAGTGACGCAAGAAATCCGACGAGACCTCTTTGCTATATCCAAGGAATATTCTCTGGCCCACTGCGTTTCAAAGGATCTCAGAATGAGCCGTAGTATCGGGGCCGAGCTCAAACGCAGATTTGGCGGTTTGGAACATCTTGAAGACCAAGTACAGAAGGGAAAAAGACTGTTGTGCTTGCCTGACGGACGATGCAATATCTATTACCTGGTAACTAAAGGAAGATGCTCTGATAACCCAACTTATAGGGAAGAAAAAGTAGCGAAAGAGCAAATATAAAGATAGGAGACGAAAAATTAGAAGAAGTGGTTCATTTTCGGTAACTAGGAAGTCAGATAAAGAACTTTTGTATTTCTAATGTAATAAGAGTGTATAACTTAATTTGCTCTGCATGTCTTTTTACGAACGATAAGTTGGTTAAGTAAGAACTGCCTTTAGAAAAAAATCAGTAAATACTGAAATATATGCCGGTAAAGGCTTTTAAAAATGCTAATATTTATATATTTCTACAGAAAATAAGTTTATGGGAGTAAATGTAAAGTCAAGAAAGGGAAAGTCAAAAATTGTACTGTTAAACGTACTTGAATGACTTGCTTTACATTCGGAGTTTTCAAATTCATTTGTTTAAGTAAATGACGATGTTTCTTTATTATAGTTTTATAACTGCATTCTACTATAGAGATAATTCCTTATTAACTTACCTTTTAATATTTTTCTGTTTTGGTAACTGTGCTTCGTTTATTTCTTTCAGTTTTCATGGCAAACTCTTTTTTATTATATTATACACTGTTATTATATATGGTTTATTTATAACAAAATGCTACATGTAATTATCGTTACTTTAGTCAAACACCACCTAAGCTAATAATAGCAAACGTATTCTCTTCCTTATTTAAACGAATTTGAAATTAAATCAGTCCTTTTTGTTTATACGGCTAGAATGCGCTACGTCGTTTTAATGTTGCCGGGAAAAAGTTGATAACTATTAATATTCTTAACACATTGAAATGAATTACAACTATAGTGAAACTTTACCGAATGGAATGACAATAACTTATGTATGGTTTCTTTAACTTTTAAAAGCGATTGTAAGGACGAGGGGCGCGGCCTCTGCTTCTTCGGGCTACTCTGGGAGAGAATTGGGATTGGTTACCACCTCTGTTTGTGGGACCTCGCTGTTGTTGGCCACCGTGATCTACTTAAAAAAAAAAAAGAAATATGATTACACTATAGAACTTTAAAAGTGTTTCGCACCGGTTCACGACAGAAACTTAACATTGTAAATAGTTCAGAATGAAAGTTCTCAGATAAACTGTTATTTTCTTTTGGATTACTTATCCGTTTATTACAGAACGAAAACTAATTTATAAGTTAATTTAGTGATTTACATATTCTAAACAATTTAAGTGATGTATAAAAACGCAGTGCAGTTTTTAATATTAGCCTAAAAATAAGTAACGTTTTTTTAAAAAAAACTTTCTAATAGCATTAAATTATAGTTGAAACAAAAATACTGGTATGCAAGGGAATCAATCGAAATGTTGTATTACACGCGAATAATGAGGATACCGTGGATAGAGAAGGTTAGAAATGAAGAGATATTAGAAATAATAGAAGAGAACTATGGAAGTGAAAAAGAAAAGGGCCAACTTATCTCGCCTAGGGTACCTTCACAGGCATAAAAAGCTAATCAGACATATTAGAAGTAGAAACAGAAGTTAAGAGGAGTAGAGATAGACCTAAATTAGATTAGTGTTCGTAAATAGTTAAGGATGTGGGATGTTCTAGTTTTAGAGAAATGCGAAGATTAGCTCAGGATAGGAAAAGGTGGAGGTGCGTGTTCAACCAATCATAGGACCGACGATTCTATGATTATAAAGTATTAATTGTTAATATGTATATTCCAAGGTATACAATGAAATAGATTATCCAACAAGAATATTATGGTTTTGATTCCAAAATAATAAATACATAATAACAGTAATGGACCATCATACTGTCTAAAATACCTATTATAAACAAGATGCAATGTAGTCCACAAATAACCTACAGTGAGCTTGTAAATCTTATTTGATACAATGTTTGGTATTTTATAGATAGACAAACAAATTTACAGGGTCGGCTTAATTTAGTTGGTGTAATTGTACGAATAGTCACCTCTCTACATATATCGTTTAAGTTATATTTTCGTTGTAACTATTGTTGTCGTTGTTTTTGTTAGTATTATTGTTGTTTTTATTGTTATTTTTGTTGTTAACTTTCAACGAAATGGTCCAAGAAGTTTTAAATTCTCAGAGTAGAAAACTTGTTTGGAATGTTATTAATTATTTTCAAAGAAAGAAACAAATAGAGAAAACATCTCCGTTACAAACATAGCGGCGGAGGTTTTGAACATTAGTTGCAGAACCATATCCCGGATACTGAAAAGAAGGTGGAACTTTTAATTTAAAAACAGATGTAAGTATTATTTTGTAAAAAAATATTTTTGTGAAATTAAAAATAAACAATAACGCATTCATTCTTTCTCATCAATGCTGACTATTTTTGAAGTCGATTGACCTCCTCTAATTCGAGATAAACTGAATTAATATTTTTAGATTAGTGGGTATGTATGAATACAGACTCATTCAATCTGTTTTGATGTACAATCGAAATTATATAAATATTATTGCATTGAATTATCTTAGATCTTACAATAACTTTTTCACCATACTGTAGCACGACTACTACCTTAAGCCGATCCTATAAATTTGCTCATTTAATGTAGGTACAGACAACAAGACAAGCACGTTTTCAACCGTCTCATTCTATTCTATTGATTCTTATGAAACGTAGGCGCAGGCCTCTAAGCAGCTGTGGAGGAGGCGTGTCTAGAGAATAAAGACAGGATATCCTCCGTTTGCAAGAACGAGAAAAGCGATATGCCTTTAGTGTGCACTATTTACTGGGGACTTTGCCTTCTTATTTCGACTATACTATACCTCTTATAAGCTCCGCACTTATTTTAGTTACATCCTACATTTTGTAATGGTTTTATATGAAACATTTTGTTAATAAATTTAAAATTAAACAAAACCTATTACAATAAATTAGATTAGGTACCTATATAAATTTTAGACTGTAACTGTTATACTGTTACCCGCCGAATATATAATTAAAATTGGTGGTATTATGAATATTTAATGATTGACGTCTTTTTAGATAAAATAATTTTAACAAGAAAAATACCTTGATTACGCGTAGAGATTCTTTGTTGGTCACCCCAAACGATAGAAGTAGGACCAGTTCTAGATAAACCTCCTCGCACTAAACCATGCCTCACTGAACGTCTGGCCACTCCTTGTCCACGTTGTACCATTCCTCTTGAACGAGTGTTAGTACTGGGAGATGCTTCAGCCTCTCTACCTTCGTCCTCTCCTTCTTCCGAGGTGGGAGGTTTTTCTCCTTCTGAACTCACCTATTTAATATACAGTATTGTATTTATTTACTTTTATTGTATTTGTTTAACTAGGTGTATCGTATTCATAGAAACGCCGACAGGTGTATAAAGCCTTCATAAATGATTGAGAGCCACGTGACCCCTTGACCGATAGTGTATTTGTTAATTTGGCCTCTTTGGTTATTGAAAACATTGTTGTCTGTCAATTATTATTCAGTGTCGTCTTTTGGCTATTTATTCAAGAAAATAAAATACTGATTCTTGCCTATCTGCCTCTCTTATTAATTTTAATTTATTTCTATTTCATATGACACTACTAAACATTTTAGAATACAGGTACTGTGTATGCTCTACGGGGTATATATTATGTTTAATTATCTCATTAGCAATAATTACAGCCTTTCCTTCTATCCGTTTATTTGGGAAAATACTGTTATGGTATTCTCGTACTATTCGCTAATAGCATGAGGGTGCTGCTGCTGGTATATTTGGGTATAGAGCAGTTAATCTGGGTATTATGTAATTTTGTAGTTGGTCTAAATAGATGAAACAGCTAAAATTCGATGCAGAGTTTAAGAAGGTAATAAAAAATAATAGGTGTTATCGGTTGAAAAAATAAAGTCGGTGGTGTTTGCTAACTTTTTCGCCACTTTATATGCATAAATTTACCATGAAAAAATCCGCAACCAAAAATAAACATCGACCTGTCCGAGCGTTTTCCAAAAAACAACAAACTCCTGAATTTTAAATGAATTTGTTCCAACCCACACGTCCTTACTGTATATAAAAATTCTATAGCACTGTTTTTTGCACTTCATTTATAAATTCCTTTTCTTTTCAATAGTATGGCACACGCTATATTAGTAGCGAGTAAGTAGAGCACGCAATATATCGGCACCCATTTTAGTTATTTTGGCATTTAATAAAATACCTACAGCTTTTTCTAATTTTTTAACGCTGCCAATGGAATTTATCAGAAATCGTTTTAGAGTTATTTGAATTAAATTTGTGCATCTTGTATTGTTAGTTGCATATACACGGAAGTCACGTGGCTGTTGGTCGTTTATGAATGCACTGTACATCCTAGCAAGCGCATACAAAATAAAAATCATAGAATAAATAAAACTATTACTCTAACTAGCCTACATACAAAAGTTAATGGTTTTAAAATAATATTGTGTTATAAAGTATGGTGATATATATTAACTAAATTAACATGCAAAGATATATCAAATAACAAAATTTAGATATCTTCTAATTCTAGTTTAATGTCATTTTTATTTTGTATGC